TCAGTGCCTCTGTGTCCTTACTTATTTTCTGTCTGATTGATCTGTCGTTTGGAGTGAGTGGTGTGTTGAAGTCTCCTAAAATGAATGCATTGCATTCTGTTTCCCCCTTTAATTCTGTTAGTATTTGTTTCACATATGTAGGTGTTCCTATGTTGGATGCATAGATATTTATAATAGTTATATCCTCTTGTTGGAGTGACCCTTTTATCATTATGTAATGTCCTTCTTTATCTCTTGTTACTTTCTTTGTTTTGAAGTCTATTTTGTGTGATACAAGTACTGCAACTCCTGCTTTTCTCTCCCTATTATTTGTTCAAAATATCTTTTTTCCATACCTACACTTTTAATCTGTGTATGTTTTTGGGTTTGAAGTGAGTCTCTTGTAGGCTGCATACAGATGGGTCTTGTTTTTTTATCCATTCAGTAGTTCTATGTCTTTTGATTGGTGCATTCAGACCATTTACATTTAGCGTGATTATCAATAGATATGTACTTATTGCTATTGCAGGTTTTAGATTCATGGCTACCAAAGGTTCAAGGATAACTTCTTTACTATCTAACAGTCTAACTTAACTCACTCAGTACACTATGTCACACACAATCTGAAGGTTCTTTTTTTTCCCTCTCTTTCTTTTTCTTCCTCCTCCATTCTTTATATATTAGGAGTCATATTCTATACTCTGTATATCCCTTGACTGACTTTGTGGGTAGTTGATTTAATTTTGCATTTGCTTAGTAATTAATTGGTCTACTTCTTTTACTGTGGTTTTATTTTCTCTTGTGACATCTGTTTAGCCTCAGGAACACTTCCATCTATAGCAGTCCCTCCAAAATACACTGTAGAGATGGTTTGTGGGAGGTAAATTCTCTCAACTTTTGCTTATCTGGGAATTGTTTAATGCTTCCTTCAAATTTAAATGATAATATTGCCAGATAGAGTATTCTTGGTTTGAGGCCCTTCTGTTTCATTGCATTGAATATATCATGCCACTCCCTTCTGGCCTGTGAGGTTTCTGCTGAGAAGTCCGATGATAGCCTGATGGGTTTTCCTTTATATGTGATTTTTTTTTGGTCTCTGGCTGCTTTTAATATTCTGTCCTTGTCCTTTATCTTTGCCATTTTAATTATTATATGTCTTGGTGTTGTCTTCCTTTGGGTCTCTTGTGTTGGGAGATCTTTGCACCTCCATGGCCTGAGAGACTATCTCCTTCCCCAGATTGGGGAAGTTTTCAGCAATACCTCCTCAAAGACACTTTCTATCCATTTTTCTCTGCCTTCTTTTTCTGGCACCCCTATAATGCAAATGTTGTTCCATTTGGATTGGTCACACAGTTCTCTCAGTATTCTTTCATCCTAGAGATCTTTTTTCTCTGTGTTTCTCAGCTTCTTTGTATTCCTGTTCTCTAGTTTCTGTTTCATTTACCAACTCCTCTACTTCATCTAATCTGCTTTTATATCCCTCCATTGTATATTTCATTTTGGATACTGTATTTTTCAAAGTTTCCGTCTCTTTCTTGAACTCCTCCCTGAGGTCTTAAACATTTTTCTGTAGCTCAATGAGCATGTTTATAATTTTTATTTTGAAATGTGTTTCAGTTTCACTTGGCCCTCTTTCTGGTGTTTGTGGGATTTTGGTTTGAACCAGGTTGCTTTGACGTTTCATATTTGTGGTTGGCACCCTCTAGTGCCCAGAAGCTCTACTCTCTGGAGCTGCTCAGCCCCTAGAGCAATGGCGCAGGTCGCAGGTGAGCGGTGCTGGTGCCTGCCAGGAAGGAAGAGCTGTTTCCTGCTTCCCTGCTGCAGTGTCTGCCTCCACTGCCAGGGACAGTGGGCTGAGTGCACAGGGAGGAGCCTCTGTGCTTTGCACTTACAGGTGCTGTATGTGGGGCCGCCCTCTGGCTGGCCTGGCGCAGTGGCGGGAGCAACATGTTTGCGAGCCAGTGCTGGCTGGGAGGAAGGCGCTGCAGGCTGTGTATCACTGTGGGGGGCCTTGGAGATCAGCCAGGGGGATGGAGCACCTGAAGCTCCTGAAAGTTTCTAACCTGCTGGGCTGAGTGTGCCAGGACAATTTTGTCCACCTGCCATCCTGAGCAGCAAGCTCTGCAACCCTTGCCCCTTTAGCAGCCCTCTCACTGTTGGGAGTTCTCTTAGAGTGCCTGCCTTTGTTTTGTCCCAGAGCAGCCGGTTATGGGTGTCTATTCTCCGCAGGTGGCTGGAATCTCAGTCTCTCCTGGTGTTCCACCTGTCTTAGCTTTTCAACCCCACTAATCTCCAAAGCACCATGTAATATAGGTTCTTGCTCCCAGAGTACATCTCCAGGGCTGGGTGTTCAGCTGTCCTACGCTTCTAGCCCATCCCTGCTCCATTTTTCTTCCTCTTGCCAGTGAACTGGGGTGGGAGAAGGGCTTGGGAACCACTGGATCACGGTTTTGGTAATTTACCCTTTTCCGTGAGGTCTCCTCATTTCCCCAGATGTAGGCAGTCTGTCACAGTGTTCTTTGCTGTTGTTCTTTCAGGAGTAGTTGTATTTGCTATGTTTTCATAATATATGTGGTTTTGGGAGGATGTTTCTGTCTCACCTCTCACGCCACCATCTTTAAGCCAATCTCCATTGAATTTTAAGTGTTTGTCTTCAAAGTTTTTAAAAATCCTCTCCATCAACCCTACCACCTACACTACCCCATCTCAGTTTTCCCTTGCACAGCCCAACTTCTTGAAGAATTGTCTGTTTTTACTGTCTCCATTTTTTCACAAAATGCTTAACCTTTAGCTCATTCCAGGGTATTTTCTAATTCTACCACTATAAAAGGAGCTCTTGAAAAGGTCTCCAGTGATCTCATATCACTAAATACAATTTCAGTTTTCAGTTGACTTCTGAGAAACAGGTTACTCTGCTGACACAGTTCTCCTTCATGGACACCCTGTCCCTTGGCTCCCTTGGCACCACATCACACTCTTCTGGTTTTCTTTCTTCCACCCTTTTTGTCTCATGGGGTAGCTTCCTGTCTAATGATTATATCTACAACATTTAAAGGATTCTTCAAGGCTTAATGCTAAGCTCCCTTTTCTTCTGATTTCGTATTTTCTCCTTAAGTAATCTCATCTGTGCCAAGGTCTCATTTGTTTGCAGATCACTTAAACATTTATTTCTCCAGAATAATTTTCTGGGCTCTATTCCTAGAGATCTCTGCTTACTCAATAGCTCCACTTGGATGTCTCAAATACAGTTCAAATTTATGTTTCTCCTTGAAAATAGCTCTGCTAGAGTTCCCAGTTTCAGCAAATGACACTGTCCTATCAAACAAGGCAGAACCCTAGGAGATGCCTGTGAACTTCCCTCACCTCACATAACAATGCATCACCAAATCTTGTAAATTTTCTCTCCTAAATATCCCTTAATGCCTTTCACTTGTCCCTGTCTATGCCACTGCCACCTTTATCCAGTTTTGTAACTCAGATACAGCAATTGCTTTCTAATTGGCATCTCTGATTATGCTCTGATCTTTCTTTATTCTGTACCAGACCTAAATCCTTAACATAGATTATAATTACTGTGGTGTGATTACTAATAGCTTTTCCTTCCACTTTCAGTAGTCCTGGATTAGATGATAAAAATCATATAATTGCCCAAATTATAAGGCCTTACACAGTCTGGCCTCTATCTTTAGACTCATCTTGAACTGTGCATGCTTACCTGCCCTCTGCATTTTAGATACAGTGGCCATCCCTCAGTACCTGGAATGCTCATCTGCCTGCTGTTTTTTATCTTCTCTTCTCTTTACCTGAGACCCTGGAGGGTCTTTTGTACCTGCTGTTCTCTATACTTAGGTCCCTAAAATGCCATGTTCCCTCCCCTTCTTTTCCTTTGTTAATTTTATTCTGCTCTCAGTTCTTACCTCAGTTACCTCCTGAGGAAAGCCTGCTCTGGGGCTTTTTTGTAAGGCAGTTCCACTTATGTAGGTTTCACTGGACCTTGTGTTTATATTTTACAGCATTCATTACAGGTACTTGGGTGATTCTTGGATTAATACTTACCTTCTACCAAACTGCCGGCTTCGTGAATGGGAAGGTTATGTTTGTATTTGCTTACTGCAACAACTCCAGCATTTTGCACAATGTTTTGCACATAACTTACATAGCAAATAGTTGTTGGATGAACACAGAAATGAATGCCAGCTATCCCAACTTAAAAATCCTAGCCTATTCCATGTAACTCACTTGAGCAAAGGAGTACTCAAAGAAAATGAAACATTTTTGTACTTCATTTTTAAAAGCATGGAGTAGCCAAGGACCCCAACCTCATTTATAATTTCACTATTTATAATGTAAGATATAAGAGATTAACTCTGGGACTATACTAAAAACTATTGAATTGTATACTTACAGATGAATTTTGTGGTATATTATACTTCAGTAGAGCTGCTAAGAAATACATTGATGTCTGTAATATTTGTTATGTTTAAGCATCTTATCCTATTTTCATTATTAAACATTTTATATTGCTTTCTTTCCACTTTTAGGTATTATTTTCAAAGAATGTTCGTGTCAAATGATGTTAATTATGATAATTATTACTACTTAGAAATAGTTACTGTGTTCTAGGCATTATGCTAAATACTTATCTCACAGCAGCATTATGATATAGCTATTATTATCTTCATTTAAAAGCTGAGGAAACAGTCTCATAGAGGTTAAATAACTTGTCTGAAGTTACATAAATAAGGAGACAATCAGGCAGGAATTGGAAAGAGAGCGTCTTCTTGTACTCTGTGTTTCATATATGAAAAAGCAATGTTTTTGGTGGAGATTTATACTGCCTTTCATATTCTGAGACTGTGTTAAACTTCCATGTGTGTATACCACTGCTCTGATTGCTCTACAGTTATTTATGTGTGATCTCCTAGGAAATTCAGTGGATGTTTGGATTTGCTTGGCTGCTATTGAGCATGTACAGCACAGTGAATCATACTAACCAGTTTTTCTTTTTCTCCACCCTTCAGTCTTAATTTTAAAGACCCTGAAGCAGTCAGAGCTCTGACTTGTACTCTCCTAAGGGAAGATTTTGGACTTTCTATTGATATTCCATTAGAGAGACTAATTCCCACAGTTCCCTTAAGACTCAACTATATTCATTGGGTTGAAGATCTGATTGGTCATCAGGACTCTGACAAAAGTACTCTCCGAAGAGGAATTGACATAGGTATACGGTTTTTAATTTTTTTATGGCTAAATGTAAGTTTCATAAATTTTCCAAGGTCAGATTCTTTGTAAACTTCTCTTCTGGATATTTGTTGTATGAAAAAAGGTGGCTACAAATATTACTATTCTTAATTGCTACACTGGGCTTTTCTGCCATTGATTTCTCTTGAGAACGGATTGTCAGCACCAGACCTGGACCAGGGAGGAAGAGAGGTGCAGAATGAAATTGAGGCTCTTGTTTTCTTAGCTTTTCAGATTACCATCTTGGTGTTTGTGTCTGTTGAGCCTTATTTTAAATCTGAACTATTTGGTGTTAGTGTAGTAGTTCCCATAATGGGACTTTATGGTGATGGCCATTTAATAAAAGAGCATGTGATCCTGAATACTGGCAGAAAAGTTTTAGATGATTATTTGTAGGGGGTATTTAATCCAAAATTAAAGGGAGGAAAAAGTTCATTTAAAGTAAGATGTTCTCTTATCTGTAAACTTTTACAATGGAGAAGACTAGCCAGTTTGATTCATATGGGAGAGTAACTTGAGATACAGAAGGAAATGAAGCCAGACTGTATTTTGGGATTATAAATGTACTGTATGTTTATCATACCCAATGTTTTGTTTTGTTTTTATTTTGGTATCATTAATATACAGTTACATGAACAACACTATAGTTACTAGATTCCCCCCATTATCAAGTCCCCACCACATACCCCATTATAATCACTGTCCATTAATGTAGTAAGATATATCATAGCCATTGTTTTGATTTGCTAGATAAAAAAATTTTTTTAATCCTTTGGCCTTTACTAGTCTTTTAGGGGGAAAAAATGACTTAAAAGTTTGGTGGCTGTATTGCTAAATATAATAGGAAACAGTTTCTAGATAGTAGTAAATGTTTTACCTTAACACTTGCCTGCATATTCAGCAGGTATTTTCAGTCCTCATCATATATGACTTTTCAGCAGTGTTTACTGACCCCTCCTTTTTCCTTTATGCACTCTTCTCCATTAGTGTCTAAGACACCAGACTCCTCTGGTTATTCTCTTTCATTTCTAGTCACTCTTCTCCCCTTTTCAGGCTTACTTTTCTGTATCTGGACATTAAATGTTCAGAATCCTTAAAAGTCAGTCTTTAACCCTTTTCTTATTCAGCATCCTACCTCTAGGCAATTTCATGCACATCTATGACTTCATTTTCCACCTTGTAAATAACCTACAACTTTATATATTCCTTTTCTTGAGTCCTAGTCACATAGTGAGAAACTAGATTAATTCAAAAACCTCTCAGACATTGCTACATCTATGACCAGACTCATTTTTTTTCTTCCTAAAATTAGTCCTCTTCCTTTGTTCCTTATTTCAGTGAATCCACAATAATCCATCCTCCTGTCATCCCTGATATTTACTGTTCCCATTTTCACTGAAAATGTCTGTCATGTTTTCTGTTGATGTTCTTTCTTAGATACTTCTTAAATCATCTACTCCTCTCCATCTCCACTGCCACCATCTTAGTCCAAGTCACATCATCTCTCTTGGTCTACAGAATAGCTTCTTAACTATGTTCTCATCCACTCTGTTACCTCCCCATTCCATTCTCCAGAAAGTATGTATAAGATCATATCTTTACGAGAATAAAGAGCCCAGATATAGACTCACACATATATAGCTAATTAATCTACAATAAAGGAGCCATGGATATACAATGGGGAAATGACAGCCTCTTCAACAACTGGTGTTGGCAAAACTGGACAGCTACATGTAAGAGAATGCAATTGGATTACTGTCTAACTCCATACACAAAAGTTAAACTCAAAATGGATCAAAGACCTGAATGTAAGTGATGAGACCATAAAACTTAGAAGAAAACACAGGCAAAAATCTCTTGAATATGAGCATGAGTAACTTTTTCCTGAATACATCTCCTTGGGCAAGAGAAACAAAATAAAAAATGAACAGAATAAAAAAGTGGGACTATATCAAACTAAAAAGCTTCTTACAGCAAAGGACACTATCAGCAGCACAAAAAGTCATCCTACAGTATGGGAGAAAATATTCATAAATAACTTATCTGATAAGGGGTTAACATCCAAAATATATAAAGAACTCACACACCTTAACACACACAAAAACAAATAACCTGATTTAAAAAATGGGCAGAGGAGCTGAACAGACACTTCTCCAAAGAAGAAAGTCAGATGGCTAACAGGCACATGAAAAGATGCTCCATGTCACTAATCATCAGGAAAATGCAAATTAAAACCACAATGAGATACCACCTCACACCAGTTAGGATGACCAACATCCAAAAGAGAAGAAACAACAAATGCTGGCGAGGATGGGGAGAAAGAGGAACCCTCCTACACTGCTGGTGGGAATGTAAATTAGTTCAACCATTTTGGAAAGCAATATGGAGGTTCCTCAAAATACTAAAAATAGAAATACCACTTGACTCAGTAATTCCACTCCTCAGGAATTTACCCGAAGAAAACAAGATCCCAGATTCAAAAAGATGTATTCACCCCTATGTTTATCACAGCACTGTTTACTTCAATAGCCAATATGTGGAAGCAACCTAAGTGTCCACCAGTAGATGAATGGATAAAGAAGAGGTGGTACATATACACAATGGAGTATTATTTGACCATAAAAAGAAAAGTACTAGTTGCAACTACATGGATGGAACTAGAGGGTAGTATGCTCAGTGAAATAAGGCAGGTGAAGGAAGACAAGTACCAAAAAATTTCACTCATTTGTGAAGTATAACAACAAAGCAAAACTGAAGGAACAAAACAGCAAAAGACTCACAAACTCCAAGAAGGGACTAGTAGTTACCAAAGAGAAGAGGTTGGGGAAGGTGGGTGGGGAGGGAGGGAGAAGGGGATTAAGGCACACTAGTAATTTGCGATCACAATATAGGTAGGTCACAGGGAAGGCAGTACAGCACAGAGAAGACAAGTAAAGACTCAATAGCATCTTACTGTGCTGATAGACAGTGACTGCAGTGGGGTTGGGGGGCACTTGATAATATGGGTGAATGTTGAAACCACCATGTTGCTCATGTGAAACCTTCATAAGATTGTAGATGAGTGATACCTTAATTTAAAAAAAATGAAATCTCATCTTTACCACTTCAGTGACTTTCTGTTGCCTCTGTGGTAAACACCTAGAAATTTGATTTGCCCTATTAGAATTTCCATTATCTGATCCCTGCCCTCTTTTCTAGGCCGCTCTAACTAAGCCTAATCTGTTCTTTTGCTTGTTTTCTGTATTTGTCTTTAGTTCTTCTAATAAGAAATCATGATTCCAGGCCTTTGTATATGTTGTTCCCTCTGCCTGGACCTTCCCCACCTTCTCCTTGTTAACTCTTATTTATACTGTTGTTGTCAACTCAAGCCTTATTTTCTCTAGAAAGCCTTCTCTTACCTTCCAGCATAAGACAAGTTCCTTGATGATTTTAGAAAACCATGTTTCTTTTCATGGTATTTTTTTAGTTTTTAACCACACACTTACCTGGTTGATGTCTTTCTCTGCCGTGAGTTTGCAAAGTGCAGAGCTAGTTATTTGTTTGCTTACTCAATATTCCCAGGCCTAGCAAACTTTCTGGCACATACAAGGTATGTATGTGGACACCTTGTATGTCCAGTAAATGGTTTGAATGTTGATAAATAAGTACATCATTCTTTCGACATTCAAAATTCTCAACACACCATATGAGATGAGCTAAGCACTATGTCAAAGTGATGGCGTTTAACAAACTTCTGCTCTTTTAAGTTCATGGCAGAAGGTTGGCTGATGGATTATAGAAAGCTTTAAAAGCTTGAGAGACTATTTGGTGCTAATTTATTTTAATTATTCCCCAAACTGTCTGAAATAACACTTGGGGAGATAGGAGGTTAATGGATTTTAGCTCTTCACAAGGGGCACTCTTGCTGAAATCACATTTATTCTAATTAGGGTTTTATATAAATTCTTCCCCCAGACTCCATCATCAGTTTGCTCTAATTCTATGATTATACACTCTCCATTTTTATTTATCACTGCAAGATTATTACCTACTTAAAAATGTCATTCAGCTTTCTGAGGGTATTAGGATGTTAGAATTCAAGTCTTTTGGTCTTCAGAACTGAGAAACTTGATGTGTTTGGCAGAAGACAGGTCTTTTATCTGCACGTATTAGCCTAAAGGTACCTCATATTTGGGCATTTGAAGGAAAGTGTACCTTTTTCTCTTTTCTCTTTGCTTTTAAGAGAAATTGCAGTATAAAGAGAAAGGCAGTTGTGTGAGAATCAAGGGCCTGGATCAGGTCTAAATTTTTTTTTTTCCTACAGAATTGAAAGTAGTTCTTAAAATTCCTTATTTTGAATGACTGACTTCTCAGAATGGCTAGCATGGGCTAAATGTGGATTCTGAGAGGGGCTTGAGTTCCCTCTACCACCCCTTTCCTCACCACCTCACATATCCCCAAGGAAGTTGTTTGCCCAGTAGTATCAGGGCCAGGATGCTATTAGGTAAACATGATGGGATGAGTAGCAGTCACCACATCTGCCAGAACTTAAATGTTCTGGCTGTCAGTTGTTGTGTCTTTTACTAGCCTCTTCAGAATAGTCAATGAGGAAGCTCTAAGATGAGCCTGGGTTTCCTCTGGGTTAGGAGTATTTCCAGCCCTCACCTCTTCCTGACAAATCCTTAGAAGTCTAGACAGGCCCCAAAATGTGGCAGGGAAATCAGACCTGGAGTGGCTGACTGCTGTAGGCCTGTGGGAGAAACACCAGCTTTTTCTCTTGAATATTTTCTTCAATTTATTGGCCAAGGATTTTATTGGCCAACATTAGTCAGTGGTTGTAAGAGCAGTATTTGTGGTTAGTATCTAGTTCGGTATGGTTGGGGGTCTACGTATAAGTAGAGAACCAAACCCTAGTTCTCAAAGAGTGTTTTGCTTGGAGCCTCTAAGTATCTCCCTTGAAACTGCGGTGGGGCAAGTGAGTTGATTGATGTTTTTGAATCTGGATCAAATATCTTCCATGTCTCCACATCTAAGAAATGAATTCTCTCTTGAGTTTTCAGTTTACTTTTTTAGTTTACAGGTATGTGGGGAATTGGATGGTTTAATGTCATAAAAATTTTATATCCTGTGTATTTTTTTTTCTGCTTTTGGAGAATGGGATGTACATTGGTTTAAGGTATTACTATGGTGTTTTCAGAAATAGCCTTAATTTTTTAAAGAAAATTGAGTTTTGTGTGAAATTTAAATGAAGGCTTTTTATAAATAAATTGGTTTCGCAGTTTCTGGCTGATCAGTCTTGTATTCCTTGATCACCAGCCCATTATGCACACTTCATTTTGTATAGAACATACAGAATAAGAGGATAGCAAGATTTCTATCTTTTAGGAAACTTGAATCTAGTTATGAGGTAAGATTAACATATGAAACAACTAGAGAACCCAGAAGCCACATTACCAGCTTATGGTTTAAACTGTTAAGGCTAGAAGAATTGTGAGAGAAGATGGTTTGGCTTATTATCCTTCCCTCTCCCTCAGGTGTGCACAATGTATTTTGAATTTTCATTTTACTAGGTACTGGGGCATCCTGCATCTATCCTTTACTTGGAACAACTTTAAATGGCTGGTATTTCCTTGCAACAGAAGTAGATGATATGTGTTTCAACTATGCAAAGAAAAATGTGGAGCAGAATAATTTATCTGATCTTATAAAAGGTTAGTTCTGCAGAATAAATATCCCTTTCATGCTTTTTTATTAACCTATCTTTCTAATTTAACACATCTCATTTTATCTTTTGCTTGAATATACAAAATTTGGTAATTTTAAAGAATTATGGCACATTGTAAATTGGGTTTGCTATTTCAGAATTAACTCAGGAGGAAATAGAGTAAATACAGCTGATCTTGATAATTCATGTATTCTGTATTTGTCAGCTTGACTACTTGCTATAATTTACCCCCTGGACTCTTGTAGTCATTTACAGACATGTACAAATATTTGAGTGGCAGAAAATTTGAGTCACCCAGCATGTGTGTTCCCACCTGAAGTTGAACAAGGCAATGCTCTACCTTCTTGTTCCAGCTCTCATACTGTAAACAAGTGTCCTTTTGTGGTCTATTTAGCGCCACATGTTTTTTGTTTGTTTTGCATTTTTATGCATTTTCTTGGTGATTTTGCTGTTTAAAATGACCCTTAAACTTAGTAGTTAAGTGCTGTCTAGTGTTCCTAGGTATGAGACTGTGATGTGCCTTACAGGGAAAACATGGTTAGATAACCTTCATTCAGATATGAGCTACAGTGCTGTTGCCCATGAGTTCAGTGTTAATGAATTAGCAGCGCATATTAAATAAGGTATCTTTATACAGAAACATACATAAAACAAGATTATATATTAATTGATTGATGGAAATGTGGTGATCAGAGGCACAGTTATCTAACCCTGTTTCTCCTAGGAGCCAGGGTTCAGTGCTCATTAATTCAGTGTTCGTGGTGACTTTATAGAACATAACTACCATGAATAATGAGAATCAACTGTGTGTGAAGTAACCTAGTCACGAAGATTATAAAAGGAAGAAAATCCTACTTATAGTTTAGCTGGGTGATTCTGATTTATCATCTTTTATGAGGTTGTAGCCATGTGAAGGATTGATTGGGGATAGAGATTTGCTTCTTTCCAAGATGGCTCACTTTTATGACTGTTGGCAGGAAGTCTTAGTTAATTGCCATGTGATCTCTCTTCAGGACTACCTAAGCATCCGTACAGCATGTCATCTGGCTTTTCCTAGAGCAAGTAATTCAAGAGATAGGACAAAGGGAGAGCCATACTATTTTTTATGACCTAGCCTCAGAGGTGACACCCTGTCACTTGCATCATATTTTATTCAATAAATGAGAGTCACTCAAGGAGAGGGAGATTAAACTCCACTACTTGAAGAGACTAGTGTCAAAGAGTTTGTAGGCATGTTTGAAAATTACCGCAGCATTAATAGTAGTTAACAGCTCCTGTTTTTCCTCCTAGTGGTAAAAGTACCACAGAAGACACTCCTGATGGATGCTCTTAAAGAAGAATCTGAGATAATCTATGACTTTTGCATGTGCAACCCTCCTTTTTTTGCCAATCAGTTGGAAGCCAAGGTAAAATATCTACTGCTTTTAAGTAATTAAACACTTAAATAAGTTTTCCTTATTTACAAAGATAAAAGAACAACTTTTTTTTTTGAAGCTGTATGAGTTAGGATACTCTGGTATCAGGCATCTGAAAATCCAATTCAGACTGACTGAACAACAAAGGAATTTATTGGCTGACATATCTGAGAAATCTTGCAGCAGTGTGGACTTCAGAAACAATTTGAACAAGGAGTTCATAGTAATATAAAGGCTCTATGTTTTTCCAAATTTCTCTTGGCTCTGTCCTGGCCCTTGGTTGTTTTTTGTCTTTTGTTTTTAAGGTATTATTGATATACACTCTTATGAATGTTTCACATGAAAAACAATGTGGTTACTACATTCACCCATATTATCAAGTCCCCACCCATACCCCATTGCAGTCACTGCCCATCAGTGTAGTAAGATGACACAGATTCACTATTTGCCTTCTCTGTGCTACACTGTCTTCCCCGTGACCCCCCCACACACCATGTGTACTAAACATAATACCCCTCAATACCCTTTTCCCTCCCTCCCCACCCACCCTCCCACACCCCTCCCTTTTTGTAACCACTAGTCCCTTCTTGGAGTCTGAGTCTGCTGCTGTTTTGTTCCATCAGTTTTGCTTCATTGTTATACTCCCTTGGTTCTTTTTTCTCAGGTTAGTTTACTTGTGGAAGAGTAATATTTGGGGTGAGGAGAGAGCTCTTTTCTTCCCCAAACCATTAAACATTTGGGTTTCTTCTGATTGGACTAACTTAGGTCACAGTCCACTCCTGCCATGGGTTTATTGGCTTAGGGAGGGAGGTTACTGTTTTTATAGCCATCTATCATTTAATAGTAATAAATTCCAGTTTAGTCTTTTCAACTTCAAATGAACAGTGTATTTCCTTATGAATATGGAAAGAAATACATTGGAGAAAAACAACTAACATATTTAAAAACTCAGCTATAATATATTATTGATTTAACTTGAGTTTTCTTTCATCCAGTAATACCTTATTAATAGTGAGTATTAATCAGAAGGAAATGAGGGGAATATATGTATATTTAAAATTTCGAGAGAATAATTCAGATATTATTTTTAGTATATTCATGGAGTTGGGCAGCCATCCCACAACCGATTTCAGAACATTTTCATCACTCCCCAACCCCAAAGACAAAACTCTGTACCCACTAGCAGTTACTCCTGGTTTTCCACAGCCTCCTTTGTCCTAGACACCACCAATCTACTTTCTGTTTTAATGAATTTGCCTATTTTAGACTTTTCTTATAAATAGAATTATATAGTATGTGGTCTTTTGTAACTTTCTTCACAAAGCATATATTTTTAAGGTCCATCCATATTGTAGCATGTATCAGTACTTCATTTATTTTTATTGCTGAATAGTATTTCATTGTATGGAAATAACACATTTTACTTATCCATTCATCACTTGATAGACGTTTGGGTTGTTTCTCCTTTTTGTCTATTTTACAAATAATGCTGCTGAGAGCGTTTGTGTACAAGTGTGTAGACATACATCTTCATTTCTCTTGGGTGTATACCTAAGAGAATTACTGGTCATAAAGAAACTCTATGTTTAATTGTTTGAGGAACTGCCAGACTGTTTTCCAAAGAGCTACACCATACACCATTTTCATTCCACCAACAGCAGTGCATGAGGATTCCGATTGCTCCACATCTTGTTAACACTTGTTATCTGTCTCCTTGAGTATAGCTACCTTAGTGAGTGTGAAGTGGTATCTCATTGTAGTTTTGATGTGCATTTTCCTGATAGCTAATGATGTTGAACATCTTTTCATGTGCTAATTGGCGATTTGTATATCTTCTTTAGAGAAATGCCTATTCAGACCCTTTGCCCATTTAAAAATTGGTTTATTTTTCTTTTTATTAGATACATTATTTGCAAACATTTCCTCCCAATCTGTGGGTTGCCTTTTCACTTTCTTGATGGGATCTTCAAAAGTTCAACAGTTCTTAATTTTGAAGAAGTCCAGTTTATTTTTTATTCTGTTGTTTATACTTTTGATGTCATATCTAAGAAACCATTGCTTAATCCAAGGTCTAAGAGTTTTAGTTTTAGCTTTTATATTCAGGTCTTGATCCATTTGAATTAATTCTTTAATATGGTATGAGGCAGGAATGTATTAACATTTAATTTTTTTTTAAACCCATAAAAGTACTGGAAGAAAGCACAAGGAAATATTTATATATTCTTTGGGTGGAATATTTTCTGTGCACAATACCAAGAGAGAAAACAAAGAAAAAGTGGCAGATTAGGCTACATAAAAGGGTAAAATTTTATTCAACCTTTGTGGAAAGCAGTATGAAGGTTCCTCAAAAAACTCAAAATAGAAATACCATTTGACCCAGGAATTCCACTCCTAGGAATTTACCCTAAGAATGCAGGAGCCCAGTTTGAAAGACAGATGCACCCCTATGTTTATCGCAGCGCTATTTACAATAGCCAAAAAATGGAAGCAACCTAAGTGTCCAGTAGATGAATGAATAAAGAAGATGTGGTACATATACACAATGGAATATTATTCAGCCATAAGAAGAAAAGAAATCCTACCATTTGCAACAACATGGATGGAGTTAGAGGCTATTATGCTAAATGAAATAAGCCAGGTGGAAAAAGACAAGTATCAAATGATTTCACTCATCTGGGAGTATAAGAACAAAGAAAAAACTGAAGGAACAAAACAGCAGCAGACTCACAGAACCCCAGAATGGACTAACAGTTACCAAAGGGAAAGGGACTGGGGATGATGGGTGGGAAGGAAGGGACAAGGGGGAAAAAGGGGCATTACAATTGGCAGACATAATGTAGGGGTGTGGCATGGGGAGGTCTGTACAACACAGAGAAGACAAGTAGTGATTCTATAGCATCTTACTACACTGATGGACACTGACTATAATGGGGTATGTGGTGGGGACTTGATGATGGGAGGAGTTTGGGAACCATAATGTTGCTCATGTAATTGTAGATTAATGATACCAAATATAAAGGGGGGTAAAATTTTTTTATGTTTAGTTACGAAGACCCTGGGAAGAAATATTTGCTTGAATGGAGTTGTTTAAAGTGTAAATGAGCAACATAATGTTGCTCATGTAATTGTAGATTAATGATACCAAATATAAAGGGGGGTAAAATTTTTTTATGTTTAGTTACGAAGACCCTGGGAAGAAATATTTGCTTGAATGGAGTTGTTTAAAGTGTAAATGAGCAACATAATGTTGCTCATGTAATTGTAGATTAATGATACCAAATATAAAGGGGGGTAAAATTTTTTTATGTTTAGTTACGAAGACCCTGGGAAGAAATATTTGCTTGAATGGAGTTGTTTAAAGTGTAAATGAGCAACATAATGTTGCTCATGTAATTGTAGATTAATGATACCAAATATAAAGGGGGGTAAAATTTTTTTATGTTTAGTTACGAAGACCCTGGGAAGAAATATTTGCTTGAATGGAGTTGTTTAAAGTGTAAATGAGCAACATAATGTTGCTCATGTAATTGTAGATTAATGATACCAAATATAAAGGGGGGTAAAATTTTTTTATGTTTAGTTACGAAGACCCTGGGAAGAAATATTTGCTTGAATGGAGTTGTTTAAATTGTAATATTTTAAAGACTGTATGATTTTTAAATCCTAAATTCAGCATGATATTTGGACACTAAAATTACATCTAAGCATTTTTGCTTAGAAATAGATTACAGCCAAATACTTGGTAAGAATTTTTCACTGAGGTGTTCTGTTGTTGTTCAGGGAGTAAACTCTCGAAATGCTCGAAGACCTCCACCTAGTTCTGTAAATACAGGAGGTATCACAGAAATCATGGCAGAAGGAGGTGAATTAGAGTTTGTTAAAAGGATCATCCATGACAGTTTACAACTTAAAAAAAGACTAAGGTAAGTTGATTATTATAACAAGGTTATATATACTCCCCTGTGTAGTTTCAAAAGAAACCATGTCACTAACAGGAAATGGAACAACTAGTTGCCTGAAGAATAAACAAACAAAAATCAGAAAGGTAGATCATACAATCTGCAAAAACCCTGTTTCTGAGAATCCTCTCATGCCTTTTAACTGATTTGTATTTCTCGTAATCATCTATACTACATGGAGAGAAAGGAGGAAAGTACCATATGATTTTATTGCTCCTATTAATATGGTAGTGTGATGGAACAAAACTGATTCAAATATGGCTTTTGATTAGAAAACAGATGGTTCGGATCTGTCTCATGAACCAGAATAAATTTGTCATCTACTCCTTGAAGCAGTTTATGTTCTTGGAGTCAGTCTCCCAAACAATGACAGCTGTGAGGACATTGAGCTGTCGAGAACTTCATGAAGGGAAACAGATCGCTAACCAGTTTCCAAGGAGAGTTAAGGTTCTTCCTTTTTAAAGCTAATTATTTTGGACAACACACCTGTCATTAACACAGCATAAGGTGCTCAAAAATTGCTATTTGTCCTGCCTGACTTGTCACCCTGCCAAGTATTGTTGAAATTATGGAACCAGGGCTTTTAACTCTAGGTGTTAGCTTCAGGACATAGAAAAGATTTTTTAAATTGTGGTCAAATACACATAATATAAAATTTGCTGTCTTAATCATTTTAAATTGTACAGTTTAGTATTGTTAAATACCTTCATTTTGTTGTGCAGCTCATCTCCAGAACTCTATCTTCTTACAAAACTAAGACTATACTCATTAAACAGCAACTCCCCATTCCCCATGTACCCACAGACTCTGGCAGCCACCATTCTACTTTCTGTCCCTATGAATTTGACTATTCCAGATACCTTATGTAAGTGGAATCATACACTATTTGTCCTTTTGTGACTGGCTTCCTTCACTTAGCATTATATCCTCAATGTTCATCCCTGTGCAAGAATTTCTGTCCTTTTTAAGGCTGTGTATTATTAATATTCCATTGTATTTACATACAACATTTTGTTTATTCATTCATCTCTTAATGGTTACGTGGGATGTTTCTACCATTTGGCTATTGTGAATAATGCTATGGACATGGGTGTGCAGGTATCTCTTAAAACCCTGCTTTCAGTTCTTTTTGGTATATACTCAGAAGTAGGATTGCTGGGTAGGGAAGACTTTTTTTCTTTTTCTTTTGAATTTATAGGTGTTTAAAGCTGCTTACTTTATTAAAAGGCCAATTCCAAAATCAACAAATATCCTGGTTTGTTGTGAGTTTGTATGTTTTTTTTGGCTTTCAGAAAATAGTTTATAGTCTATTAGTAAACTTACCTCTTGAAATAATATCACAGTGCATTTTTTAAATTTTGGTATCATTAATATACAATTACATGAGCAACATTGTGCTTACTAGATTCCCCCCATTATCAAGTCCTCACCACATACCCCATTACAGTCACTGTCCATCAGCATAGTAATATGCTATAGAATCTTTACTTGTCTTCTCTGTGCTATACTGCTTTTTTTGTGCCCCCTCCTCCACATTATGTGTGCTAATGCTAATGCCCCTTCTTCCCCTTCTCCCTCCCTTCCCACCGACCCACCCCTAGTCCCTTTCCCTTTGGCAACTATTAGTCCATTCTTGGGTTTGTGAGTCTGCTGCTGTTTTGTTCCTTCACTTTTTGTTTTGTTCTTAGGCTCCACAGATGAGTGAAATCATTTGGTACTTCTCTTTCTCCACCTGGCTTATTTCACTGAGCATAATACCCTCTAGCTCCATCCATGTTGCAAATGGTAGGGTTTGTTTTCTTCTTATGGCTGAGTAATACTGTATTGTGTATATGTACCACATCTCCTTTATCCATTCATCTACTGCTGGACACTTAGGTTGCTTCCATTTCTTGGCTATTGTAAATAGTGCTGCGATAAACACAGGGGTGCATCTCTCTTTTTCAAACTGGGCTGCTGCATTCTTAGGGTAAATTCCTAGAAATGGGATTCCTGGTTCAAATGTTATTTCTATTTTGAGTTTTTTGAGGAACCTCCATACTGCTTTCCACAATGGTTGAACTAATTTACATTCCCATGAGCAGTGTAGGAGGGTTCCCCTTTCTCCACATCCTCACCAGCATTTGTTGTTCCTATTCTTTTCTATGTTGGGCATCCTAACTGGCGTGAGGTGGTGTCTCATTCTGGTTTTAATTTGCATTTCCCTGATAATTAGCAGTGTGGAGCATCCTTTTATGTGCCTGTTGGCCATCTGAATTTATCCTTTGGAGAACTGTCTGTTTATATCCTCTGTCCATTTTTTTTTTTGAGAGGGCATCTCTCATATTTATCTATCAAATGGTTGTTAACAACAATAAAATTCTGTAGAGGGGAGTCAATGCTCAATGTTCATTAATCCACCCCAAGACTAATTCTCATCAGTCTCCAATCTTCTGAAGCATAACGAACAAGTTCTTACATGGTGAACAAATTCTTACATAGTGAATGAGTTCTTACATGGTGAACAGTACAAGGGCAGTCATCATAGAAACTTTCAGTTTTGATCACACATTATGAACTATAAACAATCAGGTCAAATATGAATATTCGTTTGATTTTTATACTTGATTTATATGTGAATCCCACATTTCTCCCTTTATTATTATTATTATTATTATTTTTTAATAAAATGCTGAAGTGGTAGGTAGATGCAAGATAAAGGTAGAAAACATAGTTTAGTGCTGTAAGCGGGCA